AATAAAGGGAAATTTAAACCATCCTGTGACTGCTGTGTTGTCAGTGAGCTACAGAAATGCCGTCCCTTTGTTTTGGATGTTAAACTCCGTCTGACTTCATTGTTGCTGAATTTTGGCACGTTACACTCTGGGCTTCTCCAGCAGCAGCAGAAACACATGGTCTATTAAAGTGGGAATCTTTGGGGACGCGGAGGCAGAGGAACGAGCCAATCATACATGGCTTTTCCACATTCCATGTTTTTCAGCATTTGCAGGAAGCTTTCCGGATGGTATGTATGTGTGTGCCCAGGGAGGGCGGGAGGGGAGCGGGGTGGGCGAGGGGAGCGAGCGCGTGGCAGCGCAGGCACGATGCCGGGATGTGTGTCATGGACGCGGCGCGGTCGGTGCTGCCGGGCAGACACCCCTTCCCCATGCCGGGCTCGCCGAGCTGCGCAGACCTGAGCGGAATCTTAAACGCCGAGGAGCAGATTAGCATACTAACCAGTGGTGTCAACCCTGCAGCAGCCATGGCCATCGCCCCGCTCCCACAGCCTGCCAGACGCTCAACTGGCTCCTTTGTCAGAGCCCTTTTTATGTTTGTATTTGGCTTTTGTTTCCCAATCAGACCCTAGAAATTCATTAACAGCAATGAAAGGCAGAGATGCAAAAACCTATAATGAAAACAAATGATCTATTTAAACGGTGCTGGGGCTGAAAGGAGGGGGCTCACGGCGCCGGGACCAGAGGAGAAGGAAATCCTGCCACCTGGAAAATGCCTGGACATGCATGTCCTTCCCCGTGCCAAGGCTCCAAGGAGACCGTTACTACAAAGCCGGTGGTGTGTGTAAGGATGTTGTAGCATTGTCTTTACAGAGTCTCAAACAAATACCAGCAACCAGCCAGAAGGAGAGGTCGGTCCTCATTGTCCCTGCTCCGGCTGCCAGTAATGCAGGAATTACTCTCTGCTACTCAACGGGCTTTAGAGAAAACTTTCAGTGCCTGCAAACACAGAGTTTTAAAATCACTCAAGTTCATTCACACCAGTCCTCTGCTCTGGCCCAGCAGCACAGGCATCCCCAATGGGAAGGCACGGTGGCCACAAGGGATGGCATGGACGAGCCACTGGCCCCGTGCCCAGAGCCTCCAGGATGCTGGACATGGCACCAGGCTCTTCAGGTGTCTTCCTCTCCTGTATTATTTCGCAAATGTTACTGTCCCCTAAAGTGTCACGTGGTTGTGGAGAATAAAAAGATTTAATCCCAGCATGGCCTTTTTATGAGGATCGATCAAATAGGGGAAAAACTGAAATAATCTATGTTGTGTGGTCTTTGTTTGTAAATGGTGTGTGTGGGCTTTAAATGTCACAGAGGCACAGCTTATGTATTTGTCATAGGATTTTTAGGCAAATCTGGAAGTTCTCAGCCCCAAAGCTCTGTGCCCAGGTTGAGTGTGCAGGTCCGTGGGGCTGGAGTCCAGCAGCATGGCCAGGGACACCCTCCCACCGCCCTCGGCTTGGAGAGCGCCCGGCACAGCATCCTGGAAAATGTGTCACTGGCACAGTTCTCTGAGCTCGGAGAGTCTGTGTAATCTGTACCTTTGGGAAGCAGGTATGGTAGCAGGGAAAAGGGAAATGGGCTTCAGTCTCTTTGTCATTCTGTACCCAGCTCTTACTACAGGCTGGGTCAAACGGGCAAAGGCTCCTGGGCTCTGTGTGTGTCTAGAGAGGTATCCTGCTAATTCCAGCTGATTTCACTGGCTAAGAACCTATAGCTTAAATGTTTTAAAGATAGACAATGTAAAGACTTTATCTTTCAGAGAAATTAGAAGAAAATCTCCCAACACCTGCCACATGTCCACATTTTCCAGGAGGAAAACAACAACCAGCTCATGTCTGAGGAAACCTCTCTAATCTGTACATGGTAAGGACATGCTGGATAATCTTACTCAGTGTAGTTTAATCTACCTTCACAATTAGATAAACAAACCAAAGCCGTTAAGAACCTTCAAAATTTATTCTAAACTACCACCAGTCCCCACCATTACACTTTTAATTGCAAACACAGCAAAACAGTGGTGAAATCAGAATCACAGACTGGTTTGTGTGGGAAGGGACCTCATCTCACTCTACCCCCTGCCATGGGCAGGGACACCTTCCACTAGCCCAGGTTGATCCAAGCCCCATCCAACCTGGCCTTGGACACTTCAGGGATGGGGCAGCCACAGTTCCTCTGGGCAACCTGTGCCAGTGCCAAATGTTTTCTACTTGCTCAGGTTTCCTACTGACCATGGCTGGACTGCTGATGTGGGGCCAAAGAGTTTTGGAGCCACTGAAATAAAACCACATTTCCACAGCAGCTTCTGAAAGAGCCTTGTGCCAGTTAAAAGGTATTCTGGGAAATCACATGAGAACTGTCTCTCATATGTCAGCATATCACCCAGGTGATGAGCTACAAACACATTCCCACTCTTCTTGTTCAGTATTGAAATAAAGCAGAGGAAAGTTACTAAAAATATGTTATATTCTTATGCCAGAAGATCCAGACACACATTAAAAGACATTAACAAATACTTTCTTTTACTCTGAAATACAGCCTTGGTCCCATGTTCTACATTTCCTTCACACTTTCAGAGGAGCAATTAGCCACTAAACAGGTAATTATCATAATACCCCATAATGAAATCCATGCAACTATAGCAGAGTATGAACAATGGCCTTTTCCTCACCAGGTTGAAATCAAAACCTTCCGTCTAATGACCAAGCCTATTCTACATCCAAAAAGAACGCCACAAATAGCAGGGAGAAGAAAGTTCCTTTTTTACAGGGGAAGGGAACAGAGTGTGTTCTACTGACACAGAACCAATATTGTTGATTTTCCTCCCTGCAGCTGCTTAAGGCTTTGGGTCTCTTCTGGAGGCACATGAGCCTTACGCTATCCTGCCCTTTGGCAAAATGAAACTGTACCTGCTTGTACCAGCTGTACAAATTTAAAAGTTACAATTCTGAGACACAAAAGCCCATTTTTCCATGGATATTTAGAAGAATTATTCTCCTCTGGCTTCTTCCCACTCCTGTGAGGTCCTTCCCTATTCACCCACACTTGCTTTTCACCACTGTGTTTGTCTCTTCAACACAATTAAACCTGCAGTTTTAATTAACTAAGATGCTCAAACCAATCACCCACAAAGCTCCCTGAGGTGTTCACTGCCCATCTTCACTGCTTCACCCAGTTTTTTCAAACCAGTTTTGGTTTGAGCTTGATTCACTTTCTCATAGCACCATCACCCCCCTCTGTCTGATGAAGCTTTGAGGTCGGGAGGGATTCCCTCAGCATAATCCCACTTTTCCTGCTCCAGTCATTAATGGAAACGGCACACAGATTGATCCCAAAATGGAGTCCTCTGGTAGATGTTCCATGTTTTTAAAGAAAACTTGCAATTTCCAATACAACAAAATCAGTCAAGACGTAAGAGTGTGAGAAAAGTCATAAGTGACTAAATGTGCTCTTTCTCCAAAATGTTTCCAAACATCCCCCTGCCACCTCCCTTCCCCCCTCTTACCTTCTCCATGCTTTTCTGTCCTTTCTGTGTTCCATCTTTTTTCCCTCTCATTCTCATATCAAAGTCAAGAACATCAACCACAGAGAAGGTGGTATTTCAGCATTCTAAGTCTCTGGATTCAGTTTACAACACCTGAAGAACACAATCCGCCCACCCCACAAAGGACACCAAGGCCTGCAAAGTTTCTTAACTAAATGGAAAAAGTAGATGCTTTGCTCAGGATCCTCTGTGATATTGAGAGCACAAAGCGAATGAGTGTCTGCCCATCACACGATTTCCCAGGGCTTCCATTTAATTTATAAGTCTGATGATTCTCAAGAAATTGAAGTGTGCACTTGTGCTGTAAACAAAATACTTCAGATAAAAACGTAGGAAGAAAGCAGGAGAGAAGCCTTCCTTAAAAGATAAGAAAACCCCAAAAAGTAAATACAAGAAAAAAACCAACTCCAAATTACATTTCTCAGTTTTCCATCGAGATAGAGAACTCTGATGAGTATTTTTGAAGCCTGCCATTAATCCTTCCACTCCTATCGGTATCACACAAGGTTAGTTTGATATTACCAAGTATCCCAGAGATTATGAAGGACCTTATAATGACTCAGAATATACAGATATATTAAAACCAGGGACTTCACAGTGACTCACTGATTTCTAGTTACACACAAAATAATTCTGAATGAAATTACTATACTTGGACCACTGGTACAGAGCTTTCCAGTGTCAAATCTCATGGTGGAATGACTGGTAGGAAGGGAAGGGATACTTTCCCCACATTCAGGAAGATGTGCTTTCTGCCTGCACATCATTTACCACAGTTTTAGGAAACTGAATATTTAAGACTTGAAACAGGCCATCCAAATATGATTTACTTTCACCAATTCACACAGAAAATGAACAAGGTCAGGAGTCTTGTCCTTTTCTCATCCTTCCTTATGCCTGTTTGACTTGGACAGACATTCAAGGGACAGTTTTCCTGCTAAGAAGATTAAGCCAAGGGCACTAATCATTTGGCCTGTTCTTAATGACAGAAACTAACAGTTAGGGTCAACATAAATAATTAAATACAGGGCCCCAGTGGTTCGTCACCAGCCCACACAGAACTACAGCCTGGCAAGGTATCAGCTTTGTAGACATGTAGGAAAAAAATAATCCAAGGATGGCCTTGTTCAAAAAACAGTTTTTCACTGAAAATAAGAGGACCCAACACAACTGACCGGTGAGTCAGGTGCTCAGAAACACTTCATGCAGATGGCATTTAAATAAAACCACAGAGCCATGAGAAGGAAGAGCAAGCAAACCCTGTGGCTCTCTGAGAACACAAAGAACTCCCAACTCTGCCAGAGAACAGCACAGTTCTGTTACATGTACCTCTCTTAATCCAGGTGATTTACATTACACATCCCAGGAGGGCGACCAACACCAAAATCAACTCTCCAAGGCTTACAAAAATTAGGTCTTCCTACCTCAGTGTGGAAATGTAGAGAGGTCGCAGGATCCGGCGCCAGCGAGTGGAACAGAGGAAATGGTTCCTATTCGGGCTGGAAAAAGTCAGTATAAACTCTCCAGATCAAAGCCTGCAAATGAAAGAATGCAAAGTATATAAAATATCCTGAAGGATTTGGAATAATGCACCAAAAGAAACAGAAGGTTGGGTACAGCGTGGAGTTGTTAATATTTTTTGGGTTCAGTTCCAACTCGGTCAACATTCCCAACTGTTCTACCTCTCGTGACACTGAAGGCTGACCTGCAGCACCTTTATGACAGGTATATTTTGCCTCCTACAAACCAGACAGCTGCACCTTCCAGCTTCTTGGCTTCATAGGGAAAATACTGGTTTAGCTACATTTAGGTGGCCTTGCCAATGGAAAGCCCACATGTTTATCTGTACCACAGACCTGGCTCAGCCATCAGCAAACGCAGAAGCTCTGTGGTCTGTTCTATCCAGTGCAGCCCAGCCTGGCTGCTCACATACCCAGCAGGGGAGTAGAGACACGAGGAAGGAAAACAAACACAATGGAGAGTCAAGGAAAACAGCTGGATGCATGAAAAGCCGCCTGCTTCCCAAGGAAAACCATCCCTGCGGGTGCACAGCTTGGCACCTGGGTGGGCAGCTGACCAGGAGGTGTCATGCAACCGATGCCAGGAGGGTTTTGGGATGGGAACTCTCTCATTCTGATGGTGGTTCTTGTTGCAGTCACATGTCTGAAGGTGTCAGGAATTTATCACTAGGAATTACAAAAGCCTCATGAAATACTGTTTGCCTCTGCCCAGTTTGTTACTCCTCTGTCTACCCTCTACACCTGAAGTTGTGGCTGCCCTATGCCTGGGGGTGTTCAGGGCCAGGTTGGACGGGGTTTGGAGCAGCCGGGTCTAGTGGAAGGTGTCCCTGCCCATGGCAGGGGATGGAATGAGATGCATTTTAAGGTTCTTCCAACCCAAACCATTCCATGATTCTATGACACACTTTGGGACATGAGTGTGTCTGAGACACACCTAGTGAAAGGCTAAACCACCACACATTCAAAGCTTGGTTTAAACCAACAGAACAAGGAAGCTATCCAAAATAAAAAAGGTACTTTCAGGAAAATGGAAGTTGTTTCCAAACAATGAAAATAGAAAAGGACATAAATCCAGCACGCTAAGTGCAAACCCACGATAAGGCAAGGCAAAATGGGGCCTGGAGAACAATCACCAGAGTTCAGGGAGCTAATAAAAACTTCTCCAACACAAAAGCAGGAAGCCTGTCCGTCACCCAGTGCTGCTGATGGATGGGCAAGGCGTAAAGGGGGGAATTAAGAAAGATAAGGGCACAGCAGCAAAATTAAATTAATTCCTTGCACTGCTATTCACTATGGAGGGGTCAGGAGGGTTCATATGCCAGAGTAACAAATCACTAGAGGCAGACAGTGCTCCCTGCAGAGTCCTCAAAGAGCCCAAATATGAAATTGCTGAACCTTCTTCCTTTGCATCTGAGGACCGGAAGGTGATAAATTTTTACAATAGGCTTTAGGAGTGGCCATGGGAATGACAGACCACAAAGTCTGACTTCCAGTACAGGCAAAAGGGTAGAAAACTGTGGGACTAGTTGGAATTAGCAGTGATGAGTAAACACGTGTCTGGGGAGGAGCCTGAACGCCAAGAGAAGAGTTTATATGTACAGATCCAAGTTGTCTGACAAGGAACCAGCCCTGCTAATACGGGAGATTTGGGCTGATACAGTGGAATCAGATTTTCTAAAAGCTTTTCTAGAACATCCCTCACTAAAGGTTCTTAAGGAAAGTAAACTGTCATGGAGAATGGAGGATTAATCTTACTGTGAATTCCCGATAAAAAGATAGGGAAAAAAGGGCACGAACGTAATGTTAGCAAGGGAGGGAGCAGAAATTTTGCACTGCCTCAGCTTAGTTATAAATAACCTGGCAAGAGGAGACAGCAAAGTGACATGCAGGTAATGAAGGTAACACATAGAATTTTTCAGGAAAGTTTAAGAGTAACAGGGAAAAGTTCCTGCCAAACCTCCCAGAGCAAGACTGGAGACAGGATGCTGGTGCACGTCCGTGGCTGAGGAGGATCCTGGATTTAAAATCCAGGCATTTTAAATCTGCCTCTTTTAAAGGCAGATATCTGTTTGCTTTATTAAACGGATTGGTTTGGGGAACCACTTGATCCTGGTGCCCTTGGACAAGAGGGAGAGGACAGGCTAAGTCCTAAGTCTGCTTTTTTTTTTTTTTTGGCCACACAGAATAGCATCGCCCATTCTTAGAGAATCCTTAGAGGAAGAGCAGAGGAACAGAAGGCTGAAGCTTCTTATTTGGGCCATATAATGGGATCCATCACTTGGACTTCAGCAGCTAGTAGGAGGCTGGATTCCCTCAGTCTCTGAGGTGGCACTGGAGATGTGACAACTTTCCTTTGGCTGCTACCAGGTTAGCTCCTGGTCAATACCTGACTCCATCCTCTGACTGATCGATAAAAGCAGAAAGCCATGGCTGTGAGAAATCCCCCTGGTTTTGGGAGAACAGGGAGCAAACACCTCCCACCCTGGGAGATCATCCTCCAAATCCAATTGCAAACGGGCTGAAATCCCTTTCATTGTTGTGGGATGGACGCAGGTAGGAAGTGACTGCTGAAGCTGCTCTCCCCCTGCCCAGGAATGTGTCTATGAATGGCATTGTGGCTCGTGGCCCTGCTCCCGGTGTCACAGCAGTGGGCACAGCCCACATCCCCCGGGGCAACTTCCCGCACCCGGGCATGGCCTCTGCTCACGTCCCACAGTTGGTAGGATGGGATGACGGAGACAAATGGCTCTGAACCTGTCACAAAAGGATTGTTTTCTAGAAAGGGAGCTCTGGTGAAAGGAGGCTTGTCCCTCTGCCCAGCCTCACTGGCTCCTCTCCTGGGGCTCCTGATTGACGTGGGAATCCCTCCTGCGTGGCTGTGACTGGCAGGGAGCTTTCCCCATCAGCAGCTGCCTTGATTCTACAGCAGCTGAGTTACTGTACAGCAAAGAAAGAGCATCCGACAAAGCCCACATTAAACAGCCGGAGTGCTCCTCGCCAGCACAGAGACAAAGCCCACGGGGAGCCGGGGGTGCCCCGACGCCTGCCCGGGGCAGCAGCGGTCGGGCAGCACCTGCCCCCCTCGTGCAGGGCCGGGGGCACACGCGGGCTCGGGGCGCTCGCCTTGTCCCACCACGTGCCCACACACTGAGGCCACTTGTTCCCATCTGATCGCAATTAGCACCGTGCCAAATTCCGTGTGCCCCACGCTAATTCAGGAGGATGGGCATGTCACACCCTGCCAAGAACTACAGCCACCACTGAGCCAGGGCCTGCCGACCCTTTCATTAGGCTTTTGTTTCAGAAGTGAGGGCTTGTGGACTCCCCTTCTTTGTCAGAAATGCCTGTGGAGGCACTAGAGGAGGCAAGAACCTCAGGTCTGGCCTGAAGGATGCTGAGTGTGTGATGGAGCAGGGCAAGGGACGGCTGCCACACCCCCTGCTCTGTCATGGATAATCTGCAAATTTAGAAAAATCAACTGCCTCCAAGATGCTGAAAGGCCAAAGCTGCATCATTGCTGCAGAGCTGGTGCGGGTGCTGTGGGAAGGGAGCAGGGAGCACGTCCCTCCCACCCCTCACCCCAAACCAGCCACAGAGTGACCAGCCAGGACACAGCCCACACTGCACCCACTGCACCCCTCCCCAACTCTGGACAGCTACAAACAAACCAAATGCTCTCAGGACAGGGCTGCACCCTGATCACACTGGGCTGCACCCTGACCACACTGGTCTGACCACATGCAAGATCATTCTGAAAACCTGAGATGAAAATGGAGAAAATATGATTGGTTTCACTAATGCCCTGTATCAGATGCACTGTGCTGTGCAGCAGCTGCTCCAGTTCCCAGGCAGCTCTCAGAGGAGCCATCATCACCCCACACAAGGGAGTGGAGACGCTCCTCCAGTGACCTGCTCAGGCCCCATGCCCAGGGGCTGTGTCCCCCTGCAGACCAAGCCACGAGGGGTGATGAAAACATGCTCCTTGCTGCCTTTTTGTCTCCAGCTGCCATTTGAACATCACTCCTGATGTCATTTGAGGATGCCATGATGACAGCCAAAATGCCATCCACAAATTATGCCCACTAAGCTGGTGATGCTCCTAACATTTCTGGGTGGTGTTTCCCACCTGCCTGATGATGGCCAGAATAGAATCACAGAACAGTTTGGGTTGGAAAAGCCCTCTAAGCTCATCGAGTCCAACTGTTCCCCCAGCACTGCCAAGGTCAGCACTGACCCATGTCCCCAAGTGCCACATTCACACGGCTTTTAAATCCCTCCAGGGATGGGGACTCCACCTCTGCCCTGGGAAGCCTTTGCCAGTGCTGGAGAACCCTTTCCATGAAGGAATTTCTCTCAATATCCAACATTACACAGACTCAGCAGTCTGGCTTTTGAAGGACACTCTGCTCTCTTGAAACAGACCTGTCTGCAGTACCCAAGGCTGTTGTAGCCTGTTGTAAAACCTCAGTAATTCCCACTGATTCTGAGGAGAATGCTGTGAATTACCAAATTTGTCAGGTTAGCAGCACAAGAGCAAACTGTTCAAACAGACAGAACAATGCTTCACAAAATGCAATTTAACTTATTTTCTTAACTGTGGGCTGATTCCTATTTATGCTAATTCATAACAGATTATGAACTCTATTATGTAATTGGAAAAATGACCATAAAACTTTCACAGTCCTAGAGAGGTTTTGGTTGTCTGTTTTTTTACACTCCATTGCTTACAAGGGCTGGCACACACATGGCTGGACCCGTGTCCCCAAGTCACCCCACACACACACAGAGCCACCATCAATTGCAGGGCACAGCTCCGCTCCACGCAGCAAATGAAGCCATTTATCGAGCCCTGGCATTGCTCTGTGAGGGACTGTGGGAGGGACATGGATCTGTGTAGAGGCTGAGGCACACCAGGATGTGGCCAATTGCCCCATCTTTGGGACTGTTCAAGGCCAGGTTGGACGGGGTTTGGAGCAACCTGGTCTAGGGGAAGGTGTCCCTGCCCACGGCAGGGGGTGGGATGAGATGGGCTTTCAGGTCCCCTCCAACTCAAACCATTCTGGGATTCTGTGATGAAGACACTGCTCTGCTCACTGGAGTGCTCCCACAAACATCTGCCTTGGATTGGGGAGGGCTCCTCTGGGTCACATCCTGCTTTGCCTCCTTGCTTGGGAACAGGACAGACAGACAGTGACTGACTGCAGAAGGGAAAGATACATAGTCAGCATCTCAGGGAGGAAATCCCTCGTAGAGCACTGCAGCAGGACATGGAGTTGTTACGTTTTAAATCCTGGTTTTGTGGGTTTTTTACCCCTGGGTGTGCATTGCTGGCGGGGCCAGAGCTGGAGGAGGGGCTGGGTGCGCAGCCGCCGTCCAGAACCGGGTGTTTGAGCTGTAATTGGTTTGCAATGATTGTATCTTTTCCCGTGTTATTGCTGTACATGGCCGGGTTTTGTACAATACTGAAAATCAATAATAATGCATGAAAAAATGTTCTCCCACCCCCCTTAAAAGTTAAATAATCTTGTTAGGATTCTGGCACTGCTATTTTTAATCAGTTAGTCCATGTTTTTCACCCTGAGCTCAAGACACACTGGGGGTTACCCACAGGACCCCCCGACTGCGGAGCCAGTGCCGCGTTCCTGCTGGGGCTGATGGACAGGTATGGCCAGGGGAGCCCCTGCCCCGTCTGACATGCACAGGGACGTGGCTCAGGCACTGCTACCTGGGCAAGTCCAAGGCGGTGTCACCTCTGTCACCAAATGTCCTGGCTTACATGGGGGAGTCAGACCCAGGAGGGAGGTTGACTCTACCCCTGTCATGGGGAAGCCCATGGCAGGAGGAGCCAGAGCTCCCTGCCAGGACAACACACCTCGTGCTGCTCTGATGCTCTCTGTACCTCCCTCAGGACCAAGGCAAGCAAAGACAGTCCCAAACATACACAGTGCCACCAAACTGCTGTTTTTTTGTTTGCTGATGTATAAAACAAATCACAGAACTGTAGAATGTTTTGTGTGGGAAGAGACCATCAAACTCATTCCACCCCCTGCCATGGGCAGGGACACTTTCCACTAGACCAGGTTGCTCCAAGTCCCATCCAACCTGGCCTTGGACACTTCCAGGGATCCAGGGGCAGCCACAGCTTCTCTGGGCAACCTGTGCCAGGCCTCGCCACCCTTATAGCCAAGAACTCCTTCCCAATATTCCATCTAACTCTGCCCTCTAGCAGTGGAAAGCCATTCCCCTTGTCCTAGCACTCCAGGCCCTTGTCCAAAGACCCTCTCCAGCTCTCTTGGAGCCCCTTTAGGCCCTGGAAAGACCTCTAACGTCTCCCCGGAGCCTTCTGTTCTGCAGCTAACTCCAAGTAGAATAAAAGTAGAAAAAAACCCCACAACAGCCTATTTACTCTCCACTCCAGATTAGGATTGGGATAGAGATGGTACAGGAGGTAATGAGCGTGATGAGATGAGAACAGGGGAGCTACTTAAAGAGATTAAGGGATTCAGGGCAGTGTAATTGAAAGGGCCGATGGCCTCACCGTGGCCTTTAACAGCTCCAGGAAAAGGAGCCCGACCTGCTGCAGCACCCGGCAGCAAAACTGGGCAGCTGGGAATGCCCAGCTGGACAAGGGGCAGGACACTCACAGATAGCCACAGCACCCCAGCAAAAGGTCATCCTGACCTCTGGGAGCCCTGGTACAGCCTCATCCCTTTTTGATATAAATCCACTGCTTTTTTCTAGTTGGGAACTGACCACCAAACCCAGAGCCTGAAAGAAGTGTTTCATGTTAAATGGAAACATTTATATTCCTGAAGCAAAACTACAAAATGTTTTGGGTTTGATAAGAATATTTTGTTTGATGCAAGCAAAACCTTTCATTTGGACTGTGGGGTTTTTAAAATGTTCTGTTTCAAGAGAAAACCTTGTGAACGAAACAGAGACATTTTCATTTTTTCTAATTTTTCTAAAATATCTTCACTTTTGTTCATTCTCTTCAATTTAATGTAGCTTTGCAAACTTTTAAAAACTGTTTTTCTGAAAACAAATTACTTCCCTGTATGTGCTGGGTCACTGCAGGAGCCTTTGCTCCACCACAAACACACACACGTGTCTCCAAGTTAAGAGTGTTTTGTCACGTTATCCTGGCCCCACAGTTTGGAATTCCTCAGGAATTAAAGCCTTACATAAACACAGCATTTAACTCCATTACAGTATAATAATGATTTTTAAACAACTTTGTAATAGGTTCTATAATCTTTTTTTAAAGTGCGTATTATTGTACTGTCACAGTTTCCTTCGCTCCATAACAGCCCAGTCAAAGCAACAGATACGAAGGTAAACACAACTGGGAAGGTACCGAGTGCTACGTGGCCCCTTTCCCAGGTTTAGAACTTGCTTCTCCCAAGTGCCAGCTGCTCCACAGACAGGCCATACTAATTGTGGGACAATTTGTGCATTCTTAAACTAAAATATTTTTCAGTTAAAGCAATGCATAAATTATTTATTCATTTGTATTTGCATTTAAATAGTTGAAAAATGTCCAAATTAACTGCTTTGAAAATCGTTCCAGAATTTCCCCCTAAGCTGTGACCTTGTGGCCAAGTTTAATCTTAAAGCAAATTGAAAGAAGTGTTTGTAACAAACACGTCCAATGGCTCTGAACGTGCTTTGCTCCAGAGAACCAATGCAGCCATTTGCAAACTCAGCCAAGGGCTGCATTTGAGGCCCCCACTTGGGGTTCAGACCCGGGGTTTCCACCAAGTTACCCAATTCTAGAGTTGACAAGCCAAGATTTTGTTGGGGAGGTTTTATCCATCCTACTTTGCGGCTTCCTTAAAGCTCCTGCCTGCAGCCGAACACAGTCCAGCCTTCCATTAAAAACCTTCCCAATGCCAGTGGTTGTGGTGGAAAACACTGAGTGTTAGAAACCAGAATTCCAAGGAAAACAGGAACTACACCGGTTTTAATATTCTATACATTTGTGTCAAATCTGAGCTTTAGGGAGCTCAACTCACGGCCCTGACAGCAGTTTTATTCCCATCACCTCTAACCCTGCACGTACCTACAACCAGTTCTGCACCTCATGTTGACAGCCCAGCCTGACCACAGACCTCCAAAGCCAAACACTGTTTGGTTATGGTCTCCATGGCAAGTTTAGCTGCAGGGAAACAGCCTGTCCTTCCTTTGTCATAAATCTGGTTCCTGCAAACAGCAGAAATTACAGCAGATTAATTCCTTACACCACCCCTCGCAAGGAGAACTGCTGAGAGGGAAGGGAGAAGCACAGGCACTGCTCTAAGATCTCAGCCAGCAGCAAAATGTCAGGAACCAGCAAGAGAGGTGGTTTCCTGACAACATGTGTCCTGATACCAGTTCCCCCAGACAAGGGGGAGCTCCCATGCTGACAACTATGCTCATTTCAGGAACAGAATGACGAAAATAGTTATAAAAGAGAACTCCTAAGTGTGCAGAAGAGGACAAAAGACAAAAGACTTTGTCAAATCTTCAGTGAATAGTCATGTAACTAAAGAAGTAGCCAAGAGGTTTATTTAATATTTAAAATTAATAGTAAAATTCTAAGATAGTAAATGTCTAAGTCAAGAGAGCAGGATGGACTGGGTTTGGGGTTCCTAACTTAGCAACCAACTAACACTGGCTCTTTGGCTCTCAAAGGCTGCGGACTTCCAAGCTGGGAATATCTCAGGGTTTTGGCCCCACAGTAGTCTCACCTCTAGATTTGGGTCATGGCATGCTATGAAAAACGTCACACGTCCTTGCTGGACCCCTGGGCAGGGCCCTGAGCTCCCCATGCTCGCTGTGTGGCAGGTGCTGGGCGGGGGGTTGGCACAGGAGAAGGAGCTGTCGCTGCTGGGCCTGCATCACCATGCCAGGAAGCACCAACCACTGTACAGCGGATCACTACTCGTGTTGCTGAGACAGGGGTGAAAAGAAGCTGCCGTGCTCTGCCTGGTGTAACTGCTATTTCTTTTACATCATCTTATAAGAGTGTGTGATTCTTTAATAAAACCTTAGAGAAAACATCCCAAGTTCTCCCCCTCTCCAAATACTCATGCCTCAATTTATATAAAACAAAACTGCTTACCAAGAAAAGTAAAATTATTAAAACAGAGAACTAAAAAGCAAAGGAGGCATTTCAGATTCCTGTAAGTAAGTCTAAAACTTGAAGGTAGAAAAAAAATCAAACGCCAATCAAGAGCATATGGACTTGGATGGTAATTTCTCTGGCATGGCTTGCTTGCTTTCCACCAACTTTCTGAGGTACTGGACAATCCTGAAAGACATTTGCCCAGAGAAGCTGTGGCTGCCCCATCCCTGGAAGTGTCCAAGGCCAGGTTGAACGGGGCTTGGAGCAACCTGGTCTAGTGGAAGGTGTCCCTGCCCATGGCAGGGGGTGGAATGAGATGAGCTTTAAGGTCCCTTCCAACCCAAACCAGTCTGGGATTCTGTGATTCCAAGATGAAGAGACTATCAAAGCCTCCACTGCTACTTCAGCCCCTTCTCACTGCAGGGTCTCTGGGTTAGAGCCCTCTGAGCACCACAGTCTCTGCTTCTGTCCCTTCTCCCGGCTTAGGGGCAGCCCCTGCTCAAACACAGAAAATACAAAGCTTTTGTCAGGGAATGGCTCCAGGTTGGGACCGAGGCTGGGGCGCCAAAGGGGAGCAGCTCCCCACCCTTGCAGTGCACACATATCAATTATAAGGTTACCCCACCTTCCCCCCTACTCCTTCCTAGAGCAGCACTAAACGAACAGTTTCCCCTCCTTCCCTCGGAACCCATGTATTGCTCTCATTTTAACATTCTCCAATTCTGGTGCCCACGACTCCAGCCCCCGCACGGCAGCGTGGCCCGGCTGACGGCCCGTCCGTGTCCTCGCACCAGCGGCAGCAGGAGCAGCATCCCAGCACAAAGGCAGGCGCTGAGAGCCAAGGCGATGCTCGGTACCTCGCTGGCTCACGCTGCTCGTATATATCTTCTGTAAATAACCCTCAGTTTTCACATGGATTATTTAGACTTTCTGATGAAACTGCAGAAATGCCACTGCGGTGGCCGCGCACCCAATCAGGCGGCGGCTCCCTGACCCCGGCACCGCTGCCATTAGCTTCAAGGGGAAAAACCCTCCTCGTCTCTCGTTATCCCTTTTTTTATGATCTAGGATTCTGTTAATAATGACTCCGTGTTACATAAAACAGATACATTAATGTCACCAAGTCCCAAAAGTACTGAATCAAGCTGACTCCTTCAGAAAGGAAGAAAGTAATAGATATGAGCCTTAATAAGAGCGCGGATCCGAAGGACGGGAAGGGCTCCACCAGATCGCTTTCTCCTTCCTATTTGAAACAGGGGATTTAAAGGGCCATGCAGCTAGAGAAGATCAGAGTCGTGGCAAGATGACTGTGAACACGCCATCAAAGGGAGCAAATCAAACGTGATTTTAGGTGGTGCTGCAAAGGCACGCTCAGCCTGCTCCACCTGCCCGCTCCGCTCCCAGGTGCTAATGGGGAACGGAGATGGAGAGCCTCGGCAGCCCCACAACCTGGCACTCACCTTTCATCTCCAGAATGAAAGTGCTGGCTTAGACCAACAGCTCTGGAGAAATAAGTTGCCTGGACTCAGTTTAGAGGAAAAAGTGGCCAAGTCTTTGACCTATGCGCATGGCTGAGACTATTTCTATTCTCCTACAGCTGGAGCAGATGCTATCATTAAAAGCAACACCCAGTGATCGTTAGTGCTGGACAAATATTAAAACAGAAGGAAACCTCTAATCAGAGTAACAAAGATATTTAGTGGCAAAACTATTCATGTCTGAAAGCTTCAGAAAAGAAAACCCAGGACAGTCTGGCCAAGTCATCTGGGACAGAACAGGACACAGAAGAGTGCCATGATCAGAATCAAACACTGGTGGTCTCACACAGACACAGGGTGCAGACCCTGGTGTCAAAGCCCCTGTGAATTATGGCCAGGGAACACAAGAATGGATTAATAAATCTGTAAGCAGTTGCAAGTATTTTAAGGAAAAAAAATTACATGTAAACCAAAGTCATGTTTGGGGGGGGGGGTTATATCAGCTGGAGAGAGAGCAGGTATTTTGATTCCCATCTCAATGAATTTAGGAAAGGGTGAAATCCTAAGGTCAAGATGGACATATAAACAGATGCAGCATATTTTGTACAGTGGCACCAACACCTTCTCTAGGCTCCACCGACACATCCACTGTTCCCGCTGTGTACCAGAAGCACCTCTCCCAGCAGATAGAGCCTGGGAACAGCTCTGTACCAGTGTTAAATTTAGACTCATCTGTACAAACAAATCCAAATTCAACTCCCCTGACAGAGATACTCCAGAGGATTAGGTCTATTAAAATTTGTATTTTGCAATTACTTGAGTTTGCTTTGCTTCTTTTCGAGGTTTTATGCTAAATTACATGGGTGGAAGATCAAGCTTTGCTTAAAAGATCCAGTTTTTCTGAGTTGTGCCACTGTTAGAACAAATTTTAAATAATGTGATACAATCACCATTTTGATTGATAGGGTCACTTTTTAACCAGCCTGTGCATGTTTAATAGAGCAAAATCTGACTTAATCTACTAATTTCTAATTTAACATAAATAAAGAACATGACACATTAGACATTTTTTCTTAATTCCCTACTGTAAGATGCTCAAATTGGGATGAGGTTTGTGTTTATGCAGCACACAGTGACCACCACCACCACCACCTTTTGGGAGAAAAAGCTACCATCTCTGCGTCTGTTCCAAATTCATAGAGTGGCCGTACTGGTTCTGATCTCAGAGTGGTAGGAGGATTAACTTGTGAACAACCAAAAGCATAATGTAACTGGTAGGTGCAATCATTTTAAGTGCTAACTATCTCCCAATGAGGGCAGATAGGAGTTAGACAGCAATGAGACTAAAACTGTGGTTATTTCATTATTGCATAGACAATGCCAGCCCTCAAAGCATGCCAGGCATTTTCCAGATCAGAGGAAAATGTGATCCCTGCTCTGAGAGTGCCTAATCTAAAAAGTCAAAGATGAAAAGAGGGAAAGGAACTCAGGATACAAAGGAATCTATGTAGTGACAGGTCCCAGCTTGTTATTTTAATTAAAAATATGCTAAATCCTTCTTTTTGCCTCTTTCAGCCCTCTCATCTCAGCTCTAAGCTTCAATTCCAGTGTCCACATAACCTTCCTAATCATCCACCGCTCCCTCCACATAAAGGAGCTCTTTGGAGCCAGAGTCGGTCTGGGAACAGGATATGTGGCAGAAGGTGACACTGGGTAGGATAACAGACCCCGAAGACTGGAAATCCAACAGATCCAGCCCAAATGTGCTTCCAGAGAGCCACGTACGTCCTGCCAACAGGGGCCCTGGAATTTGGAGGCTTCTCACGACTTACAGGGGGTAAACTGAAGAAAAGTCCATGGCAGTGGCTCCCCTGCACCTGCATCTGTGTTCAGCTCAGGAAGTGTATCTCCTTCCCCAAACACCATCTCCCTCCTCAGAGGCCCCTGGATGTCCTCAGATGGACCATCAAGTCCTCTAACACATAAAACCCTAAAAACCTACTTTATCAATGATTAGTGAGCCAGTGGTGTCATGCTTGTTTAAATCTTCCGAGAGTTCTACCAGAGCTCAGGGAGCCCACTGCTCCCTTCCTGTTGTGTCCCAAACTAGAGGCAAACGACTGCTAGCACCACTGCCTGTGCTGTGCTCCCTGGCTGCCCCTGGAGCCCACTGGATATTCCTTCAGATGTCTAACACACACTGAACACAACTGAGGTTTAGAGAGAGACAGAAATCAATACCACAGCTTCCACCAGGCACGCTGAGGGATTATCTGTCCCACGGAACAGCACAGACGGCTGAATGGGAGAGTCATGACTCCGAATAACACACGAGGTTTATGAGGCTGGAGAGCAGCCTCTGGCCCTGATAACCTCCAGCTGGCCGGGAGGAAAAGCCAGCAGTGGGAACACGCACGGCCCCCGCAGGGCCGGCACGGCGAGGCAGCGGCAGGGGACCCGCGGGGCTGTGAGGTCACACTGAACACTGCACGGCCATCGGTGTTTTCCACACCTCCACCGCAGCTGGGTGATGTATTTCAGCTCTGGAGCTGGAAAAGGAACTGAGTTGTGGATTCCCCACTCC